TAAAAATGTAGCGACGAGCAAGTCTTTCATATTTTAATTTAATTATTAAAATCCCACCTTTTGTAACAAGAAAGGAAATACATCATGTATACAGTTTTGATAAAGTACTGATCAGTCCAAAAAGCATGATTATCAACAAAATGAACATTTCTGAAATTAAACAAACTAGATATATATGATTATTATACTACAAACTGAACATTTCTTTTTTTAAAAACCAAAAAACTATGATTATACTACTACAAAACGAACACCATCTGAAAAAACAATCAGAGATATGACCTGTGAGACACCATGATTTAATTTTGCTGCAATTTACAGTGTAATAGACGGTGCTGACTGGTTGTTTGAGTATTTACAGATAAATTACAGACGGTGCTGGTTTTTTAATTAAGAGACGCCCGTCAACACATAACAAATGTATCCAGTCATTAACTGCACTTGAAAAGAGAGGCAGACAGACATACAGACAGGAACAAGAGAGAAAAAGAAAAAAAAAGTAAGACATTAGTAATACAGTAGTCTCCGCCTAAGATACCACCGCTTATATGGTCCTGGTTCGCCAAAGATCCCGCTGCTTTGGAAAAACAGAATTTTTACTATATTATTATAAAAGTCACCCTTAAGATCTCGCTCTGACTCGCACTGAAGGAGCTACATTCGGCTAAGATCCCGCTTTTCACTCAGGTCATCATTGCTCGCTTTTAAGCACAAGGGGGCTATCCCGAAAAACGCTGTTTTGAGAACATCGAAGGAAAAGTTTTTGCCCCTTGTTAATACAGTAGTCTCCGCCTAAACGCACGCTGCTCGGGGGGGGGGGGGGGGCTTGTTAGCGTGTGTTTATACGAAGCGTGCATTCACATGAACCTTAGCAAAGGGAGGAAGGGACGCAGTCATGTCATTGCCTTGATATACTAGTTAACTCCCTTTGGGGCGGGGGTCACTTTGGCCGATAATGAGAAGACACGTGACTGTTTTGTAAAAGATTCCCCGACTGCGGTTAAGACTGCAAAGGCGTTGAATGGATGTGAGTGTGTGGGGGGAGGGGGGGGGGGGGCAGAAAGACAGACTTGATGTAAAGAATGAACCATAAAATGTCGGGAACCAATAGCCTGAAAAGAAATTGTTGGTGATAGTCATAGAGACGACGGCCCAGCCATGTGGATTTCCAAGCGACCACCCCCGACCATAAATTCATGAATGAGCATTCACGCGTGTTGCGCATCATAGGCTTAGGTCTAACTAAACATTAGCCAACACGCAGTCACTCGAGAGTCAAACACCAGTTAGAAACCTTCTCTCAAAAGAGATCATGCATTTCCAGTTCCCCAACCCCCCAACATTTCACCGACCAGTCCTAGACCTATGTGTCTGTGCAAAGTTGGGTGTGAAAACGCTGTCCATCACTCACTTTGTTCGGCATAAGGGGCAATCTCACCAAATATCCGGTTTTCTAGGCTTGTCGTAGTGAAAATTTCCCTTAGTCAAGCTTTACCTGTCGGCGTGTTTCGCAGATCAGAGCGTGCGTTTAGAGGGAGGGACAGTGCGTTTGTACGTCTAAATTATATATATCGTAAAAAACCCGTCAGATGACGAAAGCGTGCGTTTGAGCGGAGCGCGCTTTTGTATGGCGTGCGTTTAGGCGGAGACTACTGTAAGCTCTTTAAAAGACAAGGAGAGTTTTCTCTAACATATACATAGGCTAATGAAACAAAACCTCCTATAGGCAGGGCAATGCCCACTCTTAGTGTAGGTAAAGATTTCTGGAAACCTCCGAAATCTGTGTTAGCCTGCTCGTCCTTAAAAGCGACCAATTTAGTTGCCATTTTTTTTAAAGAAAAAAAAAAAGAAACATGGGCGCGCTCAGCTGATCAACCTAACCATGTACATAGTGAAAATGAGCAATCATTGTAAGGTCTGTTGCGTCACGGATCATCCACTCTCATGAATGTGATTACACCCCTGTTGCAAATCTCCATAAAAGTGGTTACAATGTTTGCCCCAGACAGGATCGAACCAAGGTGTGAACTCATCGAAACGTTGCTTTCCCCGATCATCTGAGCCATCTGCCTGATCTTAAATCGCACACTAGGTGGGGAGGGCCTACAAGCAAGCACCAGACTGCATTCCATCAAACTGTGAACTCGTGGACGCTTACGTTTCCCCCACCATCGCTCTCGTCTTTCTTCAGTTTTGCGCTCAAACTTCCTAGACAGACTGGCGCCCATACTCGTGGACTGTCCGATCGCCTTTGCCTAATTAATGTGGTCATCTGTTGGCTTTCATTTTTATTTTTTTTAGATGAAGTGGTCACAACACAACGATTTATGATGCATCATGACATGGGAAGGGAATTCCATCAGAGATGGAAAGCAATAATTTTTTGGTGGGGGGGATTGCCTGAAACCAACTGGTTCCCACCTGACACCGTACCGTATGGTTTAGAAAGCCCTCCCCCCAACAACAAAAAAAGGAAAAACTGACCTCTGAAAAGAACTTTAAGTGCCCAGGAGTCACGTAAGTTCATTTTAAAGTAAGGGGAGATCATTGTACTAGCATCTGCGTTTTTTGACATTTTTTTTGTCCAAAAGTTGCCACAAAAACTGGCAAAAGTAGCCCAAAAAGTTGCCATAAATTTGCAAGTTTCAACTCTCTGTGACGACGTAAATAGTAATATGTTTGTAGAGGTAACAATCTAAAGCACCAAAATTTCTTGTGCTCAGTTTTAAGCATCCAGAATATCATTTGTAGTCACCCAGAGTGTAAAAATGTGAAAAATAAAGGTTTCACAACAGAATGAAATCAAAATTAGGATAGCCCGGATAAATAACCACAAAAATTAACAAATTTAATTAGGGCGTGTGTCCACCTATCCGAAGATTGACTGTTTTAACCCTAAACGTGTGTAATTTTTTAAAGAGTAGGACTACAGGATATTATGGAATCACACACATGTGGAGACATGCTCTAACATAATAACACATTTATATTTTTAAAAGGGTAGGAACAGCATCAAATTAAATTACATTAAGCTGTATAAACACAAGAAAAGAAAAACAAACCATCAGAACATTTTTTTGAAAAATTAATACACCAACAAATAAAAACACAACACAGAGGGAAAAATAAAAGACAGACAGCAAAATAAATAGTATGTAATGTAGTGTACTTATTTTCTCCGCATGAAAATAGATACACATGGACATCTTAAAACTTATCAAAATACATGTCTAATATGTTATTTATGAAGTACCTATGTTGTTTTGTCTTTTTGGAAAAATGCAAGAATCGCGGCCGTCATTCGCGGACCCAAAAATGCCAAAAAATCGCAGCTGCGACAAACGCAGATGCTAGATTGTACAGATTTTAGGCTTGACCATGAGTGATTGTGGATTCTTCCCCCTGGCTATTTGGCTAAGATCCTGTATTTTTCTTAGGCGGAGACTACTGTAATAGAAGATTATAATAAAAGCTTTAAAAAATGTGATGTGTGTCATGACGTGGAGGAATTAGCCACTCATCAATTATTGGGCATATAATATGGAGTTGTTGGTTTGTTTATTAAATTTGTCTTGCTTTCAAGTAAAAAAACCCAAACCTTTCTATCTTGAACAGAACTCAAGATATTTGCAATTGAAGGTGGTGGAGGTCACTTGGTTTCCAGGGGTAAAATTAGCGAGAAAATGGGCGCAAAGTTTGAAATTTCCATTTCTTGAGATTTTTGGAGAATGCAAGTTTACATTTCTTGTGGCCTTTAATAAACGTTTTTCAGGAAAATCCACATAGAAACATGTTTTTAAATGGATAATAAAGACGCTGAGCCAAAAAACAAAAATTCAATAAAAATTGCCAAACAGGCGGAAAAATGCCAGTTTCTTTGATTTCATTATTTTGACGAGCGCCTGATTTCACCATGATGTCACACACACACACATGAACATGATGTAAAGCATCATGGTAAAATCAGGCGCTCGTCAAAATAATGAAAACTAAAAAATTGGCATTTTTCCATTAGTCTGGCAATTTATTTTTTATTGAATTTTTCTATTTTTGGCTTGACACCTCTTAACCCTCATCCTGCGGGAGCCGGGTTTATGTAGCCCGATAAGCCTATTTCGGCACCTCGCCTGCGTTCTGGTCCCGAGTCAGTGTAGCTCCTGGCTCAGCGCACCCGCAGCGCGCATCCTCTTACGTGTCATTCGGGTCCCGAGTCGGATCCCCATTCACGCAGGTCAAGTGTGTGTGCGTCAGTCTGCTTGAGTTTGTGTACGTTTGTGGCCTTCTTCTAGAACCACCTGCGTTGGTTCGTAATCGAGGCATACGTCTCATTCAAAACATGCCAAGTTGATAGCTCTAGATGTTCGTCCAAAGAAATTATAGAAGAAATTGACCCACTTAGACATGAGGAGCTCGAAAGGATAGTCAGGAAACAAGACTTCCATTTTTCTATACAAAATATTTCAAATTAGCTTGATTTTGTATGAAATGATACTACCTGATAAAAAATGAGCTTGTTTAATAGTTTTGAATACCCTTGTGCAGGTACAAAGAACAATTTGAGTGTAAAACATTCGGAAATTGACCTAAATTATCCCTTTTCGAACCTCAGGTCATTCATAACAACAAGAGCGTCCAGAAAGGTTATTCAAATGGGCGTAACTACTCGTAATGTCTTATCAGCTTGTGAGAGGGGGTTATTCATGTGTTTGTAACACTTTATAAATAGAATGCTATGAAGGATAGAGCGTTATTTTCATCATCAGTTAACACACTCCCGCGGTATTCATGGCGAAAACACACGTTTCCCGGCGCGCGCGCTGTACACCAACAGTACACACTGAGTGACCCCGGCGGCCTGCCCGGCCAGTCCGACGTAATCGGTTGCTGATAAGATACGCAACTGGGCACAGACGCAGGATAAGAGTTAAGTCCATATAAATATAAAACATATTTTCGTGTGAATTTGACAAAAAAAACGTTGATTAAAGGCACAAAATATGTTATTTTTCAGTTTTCAAGGACCATATATGGGTGAGAACATCTGCTAAAAATTTTGTGTTCAAAGACTCAAAGGTCAAAGCTGCTAAAAAAGTTCTCATCGCTTGCAGTAAGAGGTTCAATATTCAGACTAAAAAGCATAAAAAAAAACAAAAAGACAACAGTAACAAATAAGCTAAAATGTGCTGCCCATGAAAATTGTGTAGTTTCATCTCAAATTCATTCCCCCAAACGATCTGTGGACATGATTCCAGAAAACAAATAAAATGACTTGCTAACATAATTTCATAAATTTGCTGCAAGCGTTTTTGTTTAAGAAAATCATCTTGTCAATATGCCTTTCTTCCAAACAACTTCTTTTTGCCAGGAAAGCCTCACTTGCCTTCGAAAAAATCACTTTAGCAGGAACTGCGGATGCTGGTATGGCCAAAAACTGTTGTGCTAGTTTGCTCAGGTTTGGTAAAAGGGCTTCATTTGACTTCCACCAATCAATTGGATGCACTTCTTGCCTTCTTAGCTGCCTGCTTTCAAAATAGCGTCTCAGTTCTATGGCTGGGAGAAATGTATTACTCGCAGAAGTCTCCAAAAAATCAATAACTTTTGAATCAAATTTGTTCCACAAAGATTTCTCATTCGTTGCTGATTTTTCATCTGGCACTGTGAAATTTGAGGAATCAGTAGACTTCACTTCATAGACTTCAGTCAGCATTGAAGTTAGACGACTTTCAATGTTCTTTGCTTTGGCAGAGTCACTGAAGGGCAAATACTTGAATCGAGGATCAAGGACAGTGGAAGCTCCAACGGTAAAATTTCCCTCCAGAGATGAAGACAAACGGCTGAGCTCCGTCTGTAACACTAAAGTAAAGGTGAAATCTTGATACTGTAGTTCTGACAAGCAACTCTGTAGCTGCTTGAGCATTGGAATCACCGTAGAAAGTGTGGCACGCTCTTCAACACACAGTTCTTCTGCAGCTAATTCAAAAGGCTCCAGAGTCTCTACTACTTTTTTCATAATGCCAACATCAATTTCGAGTATGCAGATATCAGTCTTTCCCAAATAACACAATGCTGCTGAAAGCTCTTCATGAAGAGTAAGATAATGACGGATCATGTGTAAGGTTGACATCCACCTGTCCTCTTCATCTCTCTCAAGAATCTTTTTCAAAGGAATGTCAGCATTGTAAGAGCCTTGCACTTCTCTCAACATACTCACACCATCACAGGAGTACTGCAAATAGGATGCAATTGCCCTAACTCGATTCGCAGCAGCCACAACATCTTCTGAGGCTTTAAATGCCTTTTTCACCATTCTGTCCAAGGCATACACAAAACAAGGCACATGCTCTAATTCTAAGTGGAGGACAGCATCTGCCATAAACGATGAATCACTACTGAGATCCGTTTCAGTCAATACAGCACAAACTTTATTTTGAATTTCCCAGTCCATTAAATTTTTCTTTAACTCAGCAGCAAGTTCAACACCTGTTAAGTCATTGCTGATTTGCATGGTGCTGAGTACAAGTGACTTTTTTTCCCATGACTGGGAGAGAAAATGAGCGGTAAGTGTCACATATTGTTTTGAGCTCCAAGACATCCAGCTGTCCGCAGTAATAGCCACTTTGTCAGAAAGCTGCAGTGAAATCTTCACATCTTGTTGCACTTCTTCATACAAGTGAGGTAAAAGATCCTCAGACAGCTTATCACAACTGGGTAGCTCATACTGTGAATTAAGTGCTTTTACAACATTACGAAAGCCTTCACTTTCTACGAGTGACAATGACTGTAGGTCAGATGTTATCATTTGCAATACAAGTGCGTCAGTTTGCTCTTTCTCTTTGCTGCCCCCACTTTTAATGTTCAGCGGTGATTTAACAGATGGAAATGATTTGTCTACACTCGCTACGGGCACAGGCTCAGTTTTTGGCTCAATTAAGCTACTGCTACACTCATTGTCATTCACAGTATCTCTAGAATTAGCAGTCACATAATAATTTTGAGACTTATCGTGAGTTATGTCTGAAGAGATTGAACATTTCTGTCCCTCAGTCTCCAAAAACTGCTCAGGATGTTTTCTTTCAACATGTCTTCTCATATTTGTTGTTGATCCCCTATGTTCGTAAGAGTATGACATGACAGCCCCACAGTGAATGCAAGAGCAGGTTTCACTTCCAGGAGTTGGTAAAACAAAGTGTTTCCACACAACAGAAGTAAACTTTTTAGGTTTACGTTTATAGTTCCTTGGATTTTCACAGGAAGTGAGCTTCCTCCCGATCTCTTCAATCTGCCCACTGTCAGTGTTAACCTCAGAATTTAGATCAGAAGGTGGCCTAATAAATGTTTGCTGGGCATCACTAGAAGTATCAATTTCAGCTTCAGTGCTGGTAATAATGGTGGGCGGGGGGTCATCAAGGTGCTTCCCTCTGATATGCTTAATCAAATTGGAAGTTGTACCACCTACTGCCATAGTATACACTCTTTCGCATAAACGACATTTTACAGCGCGGTCACCAGGCTTTTCTCTATGAAAATATTGCCATACAATACTCGAATTGAGTCTGGCGTCCATTTTGTCTGGATAGACTAGATCTAGATCTAGATCTAGGTCTAGACTCTAGATTAGATCTATCTAAATCTAGACAGTGTAGAATCTACTTAAATTCTATATTTCTGTAATTACTTTAAATGAAAAATGATGCTCAAGTCAAACAAGATGAACAATGAAAAGACGCCGAACTCCACTGACGTTTCCCTCCCTCACCACAGCCTCACAGTTTGGTTCTCTCGCACTCTCTACTCTCTAGGATATGTTGTAAAATCATCACAATCCATATTTTTAAGAACCCCAAATTTTTCAAAAAGTTAGCTTGGCCAGTAGATCTAGATCTCGATCTAGTAAGTTTCTGTTTTAAATTATAATGATAATAATAGGCCAAGATCGAATGATACCAATAAGTGCACCATGCGTTTGTAGCCTACATAATAATAATTATATATATATATATATATATATATATATATTATTCGCAGTGGCTAATAATATATATATATATATATATATATATATATATATATATATATATTATTTGCAGTGGCTAATAATATATATACATATATATACATATATATATATATATATACATATATATATATATATATATATATATATATATATATATATATATATATATATATATATTATATTATTCGCAGTGGCTACGTTCACGGCGCCGTGAACGTAGTCTGCAGGCTAGGTTCACGGCGCCGTGAATGGAGTTGGCAGGCTACGTTCACGGCGCCCTGAATGCAGTTTGCAGGCGCTGTTGAGGCTACGTTCACGGTACTCAAGCTTTGTTTAGACGGGGCGTCCACTGCCGGTTTTAGTCAGTGACTACAGTGACGTATATTTAATATTTTGGCCAGCTTCAAAAGTTCCATCCCATGAGATGAAGGAAAACGAAAAAGCCTGGGAACCGACGCAGAGAGAAAATGACGGGAATAATTCTTATCATAATAGAAACAAAACACTGCTCTATGTGAGTGTATGCCGAGAGCTTAAACATCCCCGGCTTAGTTTACAAGAAGGCTTAAAATGTATAGAAGCTGGCGAGGTCACGCACCCCCCCCCACCCCCCCCCAACCTTCTCTCTCACCTTCTCTCTCCCCCCCCAACCTTCTCTCTCCGCCCCCCCTCTCTCTCTCTCTCTCTCTATCTATCTATCTATCTATCTATCTATCTATCTATCTATCTCTCTATCTGTATGTGTGTGTGTGTGTGTGTGTGTGTGTGTGTGTGTGTGTGTGTGTGTGTGTGTGTGTGTGTGTGTGTGTGTGTGTGTGTGTGTGCGTATTATGTCTTTGGCTCAGAACGAGATATTCATTCTTTCATTCAAACTATTTGCAAGCGTTTTTCATATCATGTATGCATTTTTATACAGTAAAGAGATAAGGAAAGTTGATAGCACGGTTATCTTTATTTTTATTTCTTGCAACTACGAGACAAGAACTGAAAACGAAAGCTCTCAATATTATTGCCAGGTCTCCTTATCTGAGAAACTCATTATTGGTCAATGTTCCCTTTACTCAACTTTACTGTCTTATTTTGTTCTACACCAAAACTGTGCCTGTGTTTATATTTACAGACAGACAGACAGACAGACAGACAGACAGACAGACAGACAGACAGAGATTTTAGATCAGTTCCTACACTCAATTCATTCTTTTGTTTCAGCCTCATAATCGTCTCTTTCAATGACATTTACCGATGCTGATGCTAGCGTCTAATCAACGAGATGAGAGTGCTGTTTCGGCAATACCCCAGTTTCAACAGTTCAACGTTTCCAAAATACTTTGATGCCCTAGCCTCAATTTCTCAAGATTACCACAGCCTACTGCAATGGCATCGACATTCTTCAGCACATCACACGACAGTTCGAACATTGATAGGCACTAGTGGTGTAGGTATAGTGATGAAACATATCGTGAGAGTGATAATAGTGAAGAGGAAACTTTAGATGAGGATGAACTTGCTCCTCATCCCATTGCCAAAAAGAAAATTTCACCCATAAAGAAAGATAAAGAAGTAGGTGACAATGACGGATATGCGCTTTTTTATTCTGCCTATGAGAACCCACCATCAAATAAAGTATCAGCAAAATTTACAAGGAAGTGCAAAAGCTATGGAGGCTGAAATAATATTCACAAAATCAGCGCAACACTGAGGTTTAGTACACAGCAGGATACTGTGTGACGGAGATGCCAAATCTCATCAGATGCTCAATTTTTTTATGGCATTTATGACTTTGAAATTGTAAAAGATAACTACACACATCGCATAAGCAAAAGTATGTTCAATGCACTTCAGAGCTTCCAAAACACCAACAGCGAAGAGCTGAACAGAAAACTAATGAAGATTGAAAAACAGAGCAGTTACAAATGCCTCACAAAACCTGGACGTAACAGTTACTTGTGTTCATTAGTTTTCATTTTGTTTTTGTTCAGGAGCTGTTGGTTTCTTACCGAGCTCGAAACCTCTTTTGCGCACAGACCCTGTAAGATTTTGAACATCTGTCAGAGAGGAACAGAGGCCACGAAACTGCCATGGTTTTGGGTGGCATGGGGCGGAATGAACAAAGTCGCTCTCGTGAGAATCACCGGATACCTTGGTTTAGTGGACTACATCACGCAAGTGCTGGAGCTTCATGTCTTACCCTTATTTTCGTCAAGGTGTTATTCAAGTAGTCATCCCCATGCGAAACACGGCATTTTCTCATAGGGCCAATGCCATTAAAGAATTCTTAAAAAACCAAATCAAGTCAACCTTCGAATAGTTAGCAGCAAACAGCCCCGATATGAATCCTACAGGTATGTGAAGTCCCATGAAACAGCGGCTGAAGAAAAACGACTTTGCCCCCAATTCAGACCCTTTGTTTGTAACTCCCTGTGACATTTGAAATGAAATGACTGATAAATATGTCCAAAACTAAATAGAATTGATACCTAAAGGTTTCGTGCACAACACAAAGCCAATGGTTCCTAAGCAAAATAACAATGAACACAATTAGTGTTGAGTCGAAGTTTTGTGTGGTATCTGTGATTGCTCTGTTTTCCGTTATGTTTGAAACTATCGAGACAAAATATTGTAATAAAATATTGTTTATTGCAAAGACACAATTCTCCATTCATTGGGCATTCAATATATCTCCATTCGATCAATATTGATACTCTTCAATAAATGCGCAAAGACAATTTTACTTTTCTTTGATTTCGCACAATTTTGCAAAGCCTTATTTTTTAAGGTCAATTTTGAGTGACAATATCTCGGGCGTCTCTTAAAATAGATTAAATATTAAAGAGTCAGATGATGAAGAATTTATTTAGCTTTAAATTGGAATGCTGCATGAATGGGTAATGCAAGGCTTTAACACGATGACTGGGTGATTACATTTTCAAGTTTCTTTTGGACGCAACTGTATAACAGACTACATTTACTATTTACAGTAAGTTTTGCACGTCCAAACTTTTAGGAGTTTTCTCTCAAATTGGGCTCTTTCAGGGGGGGGGGGGGGGATGGGGACACAAAAATCTATCAGGCGAAACGTTGTTAAGATATTGTCATAATTTTCGGTATACTGATAGATGAAACATTATTCTAGTGTAATAAGTAGTGACGTCAGAAAAAATCTTGAATAAATGATTTTATTAAAAATTTAATCCGTTGTTTTGATCTGAGATTGTTGTGGTCAAAATATTTGCAAGGAAGACTGGGTTGAAGCCAGTGCATCAACACTTGCACCACTACTCAAGAAAAAGCGTAAGATTCTGATAGAACACAACACAAATCCAACAGAGAGTACAAAGCAACAACTACGTGCTGCTAAATCCAACCTTCAAAGAAAAAGCAGAAAGTGTGCCAATCAGTACTGGGACAAGTTATGCTCAGAAATCCAACAGGCCAGCGATACAGGTAATATCAGGAAAATGTATGTAAACATCAGAGTTGCTATTGGACCAACAGCAAACAAAGTGGCACCTCTAAAGTCTGCGACAGGTGAACAGCCGACAGACAGGAAGAAACAAACGAAAAGATGGATGGAACATTATTCAGACTTATACTCAGAGAACATGTTGATAGACAGCCACATGAGGCCATTCCTCAGCTCTCCGAAATGTCAGAACTTGATACAACACCAACAGAAGAAGAACTGTCCTCTGCAATCGATGAACTCGCTTGCAGAAAAGCAGCAGGAATGACAACATACCTGCCGAAGTGTTGAAAGAGAACAAAGAGACCCTCCTCCCATGTCTTTACAAGCTACTAACGACTTGTTGGCTGAAAACAGAAATTCCACATGACATGAGAGATGCCAAAATCACCACCCTCTACAAAAACAAAGGGGACAAAGGAGATTTCAACAACTACAGAGGTATCTCACTGCTAAGCATCACTGGAAAAGCTTTCGCTAGGATCATCCTGAGGCGACTTCAGAAACTAGCAGATTGAGTCCTACCAGAGAGTCAAAGCGGTTTCAGATCTAACCGCTCAACAATGGACATGATCTTTTCTATTCGTCAGCTACAAGAAAAATGCAGGGAGCAACAACTGCCATTACATGCTGCGTTCGTCGATCTGACAAAGGCATTTGATACAGTCAGTAGATCAGGACTGTACATGGTGCTTGGAAAAATTGGCTGTCCCCCAACACTGCTACAGCTCATCATCTCATTCCACGAAAATATGAAGGCCACCATTCAGTTTGAAGGCTCAACATCAAACAGTTTTAACATCGATAGTGGAGTAAAGCAAGGTTGTGTCTTAGCACCAACCCTTTTTAGCACTTATTTTGCTTTCTTACCGGAACACGCATTTAAAGAGTCACCAGGGGAGGCCTTCCTCCACTGGAGAACAGATGGGTCGCTCTTCAATCTTGCTCGACTCAAGGCCAAGACCAAGATCAACAAAACAACAGTACGAGACCTTCTCTTCGCCGATGATGCTGCTCTTGTTGCTCACAGTGAATCAACCCTACAAAAAATGATGGACCGCCTATCAACAGCATGCAAGGTCTTTAGTTACCCAAGAAGGCGCAGAGCAGAGCCATATATGGCTGAACAACAAGGAACTTGAGACAGTAGACAAGTTCTGTTAACGGGGGTGTACCATCAGCTCTACTACATCACTTGATTATGAGATCAACACTAGGCGTGACAACGTTACAAACAAGGTTACAAATGTTGAAGTGCTGGCACGGGCAAACCTCCAGAGCATGACAACTATCCTGAGTTTAAAAAGATTGAGATGGCTGGGCCATGTCAAGAGAATGGACGACAACCGGATTCTGATGCAACTTATCTATGGAGAACTTGCCCAGGGAAAGAG